ATACGTCCCGAAGAAGTGCGTAAGAAAACAGTCAAAAATTGCGACAGAAGTGCATAATATCTGTGTTTAATGAGTACTTACTGGTATGTACTATTGCAGTAGTCTGCTGTAAGAAGCTACTGTGAAATTTTATACTATTTGTTTAAAAGTAAACATGCAGCAGAAATGTGAAAACAATATGGAAGTATCTGCCCAACAGAAAAATAACAGCAAATCGCGTTAGACTCTTCACGCACACTTGACAGCTTTTTGCAGCAGAGTTTGGAGTCCAGATCCGACCGGCAGAAACGTGAAAAGAACGTGCAAGCATCTGCCCGTGAGAAAAAGAGCAGTCGAGTGTGCTAAACGCTTGAAACATATTTGCAGCAAAATTTCACAAGTGTATGTCGGTTAAATTGTTGTTTTTGCCGTACAGATCCGACCGGCAGAAACGCGAAAAGAACGTGCAAGCATCTGCCCGTGAGAAAAAGAGCAGTCGAGTGTGCTAGACTCTTGAAACATATTTGCAGCAAAATTTTACAAGTGTATAATGTCGCTTAAATTGTTGTTTTTGCCGTACAGATCCGAGTGACAGAAATGCGAAAAAAGCGTGCAAGCATCTGCCCGTCAGAAAAAGAACAGCCGAGCGCGCTAAACTCCCAGACAGCACAAAATATTTATAAAATATTTTTAAAATATTTATAAAAAAGATTTAAATATTTTGAAAATATATACGTTGAATATTTTGTAAATATTATATAATGTCCGGAAAATAAAAGTATCTAAAAGATTATAATAAATATTTTGAAATAAAGTGTAAATAATTATCATCAATATTATTAAAGTTGTTTTTAATATATGTTATATAAATATTTATAGAAATAATTACTGTAAGTTAACTGGAGATTGTGAAACTGTTATAGTTTCGTGCTGTAAGATGTAGGCTATACGCCTATACGGTCCATTTTGGCGTTACGAATTTCGAAAAATGTTTGATAAATCAGATGTACGGTATATATTCTGCCAAAATCATTTGTATTTCTGCTGCTCTACTTCTTACACAAGCATCTGTCGTAATTCTTGTTGAATTCTGCTGTATGTGCTAGTTTGCAACGATGCCGCTAGGCGGCGCATAATGGTAAAACTAACTCGTAAGTAAATTTCAGTTGGGATCTAATATAAGCAGAAGCAGGCCTCCGGCGAAGCAAAATCATGACATTCGCGACAATATCTTCGCCAGCAATGCAACGTAAGGCTTACCCAACACCACTGCGGTGCTATAAATATAAAAAATATTTTTGTAAATTATTTTAATCTTCCTAAAAAATATTTTAAAAATATTTTGTGCTGTATGGGTAGCAGTAGGCGATGCTACAAATCTGCGATTATGTTGCACTGCGATTTGCGCAAGCATCTGCCGCATTTCTTGCACTATTCTGTTATATGTAAATGCATACACATATCTTCCACAATTCTGTTGCACTATGACGAGCGCAAGTTTCTGCCAACAGAAAAATAGTCAAAGTTGGAAATAGAAAACGCATGATCTGCCCGAAAGTTAATGCACGACTTTTCGTGCAGTCTTACAGCAGAATTGCAATGGAAATGTTACCAGGGAACAATCTAAGTGAGAAAAAGTCTGATTAAAAATAATAATTTTGACTGTAAACTTCAAATAATAAAAACATATCATATATAATTAAGTTAGCTTTAACTTAAAATCATAAACTATTCTAACTTATCATAATTATCTCTTCCCTAAATAAACATTTTAAAACATAGTAAAACTAACATAGCACTAACAATTCACAATATAAAACATGTGGTACATTGTTAAAAATGGCTAGGTTCATTGTGTATGTACACCCCTGCACACAATAAACCATTTGACATTGTTTTAAAAAAATCGAAATTGTGACTAAACTTTAAAAATAACTTACAAGTCATCTTACACACGTATAGTCAATTAAATTCATGAACTATATGCAAAAACACAGATCTCCAACTCAATAATTGAGAAAGATATAAGCCTCTGAAATTTACATGGTTCATATTGTTGGACTACTTACCCTTATACTAAGGGCCATTCTACAACTGCTAGTTGAAAAGTGTTATTTCTGGTTGCGCTTGTCAGTTGCGGTTATTAAAAGAGAGTTGGCGAACTTTTAACTTTTTTAGCGACAGCAACTGGCAATCGGCAATCAGAAATAACGCTTTTCAACTAACAGTTGCCATCGTTTGCGAATGTATTGTAGAATGGCTCTAAAAGTTGTAGTTTAAATATCGAAAAAGCTCATATCTAAATGATCACTATGAAGACATTTTGGATCGGATAGTATACGGTAATTATTAAATCGGATTACAAGCCGTCATGTAAACGTAGTCACAGATGATATTAGATCTGTTGCAATATTTTAGCAAATCTATTGCCAATGTTGTCGAAAGATGGGGAGTTTACTTACTGGATAATATAATGACTTTTAATTGGAGAGTAAAAACACCCCGGATGATCGTTTACGTAAGAAAAAATTAGACACCTATTCCTGGATTAATGAAGATTTTTATTCTCCCAGGAGCTCTTCGATTCCATTATCCTTATCGGAACTATCCTGTCGCTGTACCTTCATCTTATAGCCCAATGCTTCTAGAAGATTTATGTTAAAGTAGTAAGTCAAATTGATTCCTGGCACTAGACGTTTCAGTTCTTCGATGGTCGCCCAAGCTTTCTCAGTGTCTCCTATATTAGCATAATGCTGTGTGATCGTTGCGAACAGATCGCCACGACGAACCGATTGTTCTAGATTGGATCCTTGAGAATCCAGCAGATGACGAACTTGCTGCATTGCCGTCTCCGTCTCACCTCTGTCGAACAATCTGTTTAACGAGAAAAAAAAATGTTCGAAAATATACAAAATACGTTCATATACAATAAAAATGCGATTAACGTAAAAATAAAATTTATAGAAACTTCCATTGTATAAATAAAGATAGTCAAGATCTGTAAACGTAAGACGTGCTAAAGATACGACATATCCATGATAGAATAAAACATTTCAATCTTTATTTTTTTAACGAATATATAAAAATTGACTGTATAAAAATATGGAACTATCTAGATAATCTCAAGTATAAATATAATATGAATATTAAAAAGTGATCTCTAATATTTGAACAAAATCAGAAAAATAAATTTTGTTTACAGTAAATTTCTTGCAGATACTTTCGATCCCGCTCAGTAATCGAAAATATCCATATTTCTTTAATTTATGTCACACATATCAGTCGCTATTTACTTATTAAACAAATAAATATTTACAGCTTGGAGATTAGAGAGCATGACTATAAAAAAATTCAAATTATTTAATCTACATCAAGGAAACCTCGCAAAGTGTCAAATTTTGATTGTAACAAACATAAATATACATATTAGGTGTCCCAAAAGTCCCAGAACAATCAGATATCTCGAAAAATATGGAAAATATGGAAAAACGTTTTAGACAAAAATTTAAAAAGATCTATTTATTGACCTTAGGCCTGTTCGTTTTCGCTGCACTTCTGAACTAGTGCAATAAGTCAGAATAAAATAAATATATTTTCTTTCATTTTAACTTATTGCGCTAGTTCAGAAGTGCAGCAAAAACGAATAGGCTTCTTATCAGTTCTATGCGTCGTTAAGGTCAAGTCAGCGTCACGTTGAATTTTTTATAAATTGGACTCCTATTTTTTATTGCATAATCTTGTCATCCTTGTTGAGACGTTTCCAAAACATTGTAATAAAACTTTCTTTTGTTAAGAATTTCCTAAAATATTTCAAATTTTATCATATTTTTTTAAATTTAAAATATAAAATATCTCGTAAAGTATTCACTTTTTGATGACTTTACCTTCATCCTTTTATACGAAGAATAACGAAAGAAATCGATTGTTGCAAAAAATACAAATTATTTTATAAAAATTAGATTTGCATTTTGTAGATGTATTCAATTTTACAAATGTAAAATTGCAAATGTAAAAATAACAATTATTATTCAACTCCTTTCATTATTCTACGTATAAAAGTATTTTGGTAAAGTCATCGAAAAGTGAATACTTTATATGAGATGTTTCATATTTTATATTAAAAATGTAATAAAATTTAAAAAATCTCAGGACATTTTTAACGAAAAAAACTTCATTATAGTGTTTTAAAAACATCTCTACAAGGGCTACAAGAATATGCAATAAAAAATAGGAGGGCTAATTTATAAAATTCAAAGTGACCCTGACTTGATCTTAATGACGACACGTAAAATCAAACTGATAAGGTCAGTAAATAGATTTTTTTAAACCTTATACCTTTTATTTAAAACGTTTTTCCATATCTTCCATATTTTTCGAGATATTTAACTGTTCCGAGACTTTTAGGACACCTTATATAGGTCAGATAAATATATAAATTTAGAAATTATCAAATGGGGAATGCAAGAAATATTGTATCTCTTTGAGGAATATTTCAATTGTGAATACTATAAAATAGAATTATGTTAATGTTAATAGTAAGATTTCATTTTAAATATATTATAATAAGCATATTCATTGCTAATGTTTGTAATAATTGTGCTTATACATTACAAAAAATACTATAAAAATATATGGCATGATAACTCATATATATGTAAAAATTATAGAATAGATATCATTATAGAAATGTCGAAATTGATGTGTACACCGTCTGCTGCAAGTAGTGATTTCTTTAACCGTAAAAATTATAATTGTTATAATTTCTCATAAAAAATTATCAATACATTTAGATTAAAGATATCATTTTATTGTATTATAGTGAATAGATATTCTTTCGTATAAGGTGTGCAAATAATTATCTTTTTAAAATGTTTCTAACGTGGTTAAATAGAGGTATTTTTATTATAAAGCATTTTTTGATATCTCAAAGTTTTTGAGATGTAATTAAAAAAAAAACAAAAATTTCTCTACCTATAAGGAATGATTTCAAGCTTCTCTTTTTTCCCCGAGAAATAAGGTCCGTCCGCAAAAGCTCCGGTCACACCATTATGTTAATGATTTCACGCTTTAAAACTTTTTCGGCTCTAACTAATAATTTCTAAATTTATCTATTTATTTTATCTATATAAAGTTTCGTTAAATTCAGAATTTAGCATTTGGCGACCCCTTGTCAGTCTAATCTTCCGAGGATAAAAAGGTAAACACGATCAAGCAGTTTAATACTTTGGACCAAATCAAGACTTTTTTTATCTTTATTCATGGTTATATCAAACTTTCTTTTATTTATCTACTATTTAATTCCTCGCAAATACTTTCACGCTGTCAATGTTACTTATTGCAAATTTAAAACCAGCCTCTTGGATTTACCTTTTAATATCCAAGTAGCGTTTAATCGCCGACATTCTATTATTCACCAGCTCCACCGCCCGATTGTGAACATTCGGATCTCGCGGTGTTACCACCTTGGACAGACACCTGTTCGCTTGATTCAGAGCGTCCAACGCTTTCTCATAATTCTGAAACTCGTCGATCTCCACCTGCGCGCATGCCACATAAAAATTCGCCAACAGATCCATGGCCTTGCCCTTGGAGTAAAAATTGATTATGTTCTTCAGAATTTCCGGTTGATTTTGCCAATCCAGAGACTGCAAATAATTGCCTGCCATGATATAGATCTCGCGGTTCCTCGAGACTTGCGCGAAAAAACAGATCTTTTCGGTGTCACCGGACTTGAGCAACGCCTTCATGGCGCGTAGCTTGTTGCCAGCCTGCGTGAATTTTTTAGTCGCTAGATGGTAGTTCCCCTGATCGAAAGCGATCTCTGCGATTTTCTCAAGCGTGGAAATCCTCGTATGCTCGCGCTCCGTGGTGTTATTGCTCTCTTTTTCAATCGTCAATTTCTCCGCGAGCTCTTCGCTCAACACGACGTTATGCTGCTGGATCAGATCCAAAGCCGCCATATAATCTCTGCCGGTCGCGAGCAGATCTACCGCCTTGTCGATCTGGTCATTCTGCATGAAATAGTCCGCGCACTTGTGGATCAATGCCGGATCAGAATCCGCGTTCACATCCATGATAATCAGTTGCAACGCGCTGTATTGTCGAGTTCTAAACGCAACGTCCAAAGCTTTATGCAAAAGACCAGCTTTATGGTACAGCAGTACCGCGCGATCCGGTTGATCATTGTCCTCGTAAAACTTGGCGACGTCTATCTGTGAGTGCCGTGACGCCAGGATAGCTAGTGGCCACAGTTCTTCCAGCATGTCATGCTCCTACAAATAATAAATATCGAAAAGACTCGCTAACTCTTGTCAAGCAAATCAAAATGGGATAAATAAGGCGTTACAAGCGAATTTTTAATACAATCGAATGCCTCACCTTGCACAGCCGTATCGCATTGGTATAGGCTTTAGCAACAGTGTAGAAATGAATTGCTTGTACCACATTATTCTTCGATTCGTAATGCGCAGCAAGATGGTACGCCGCCGCGGCGTGATTTGTTCTAGTCACCAGCTCGCACACTTCATCCTCTCTATCGAAGTAACAGAGCAGCCTCGTCATCGACAAAGTATCTTTTGCTTGTTCGTAAAGATGTAGAGCGGTCTCCATGTCGCCAGTCGACTCGGTGTACTGGGCATGCCAATTTTTAATCTCCCTGTGACAATATCAATCTAATTGCATTGCAACTAATTACTCTCTAAACGACACATGCAATTAATAGCGCTAAATCACTTACGGTTCTTCGGAATTATTCAGGTACGTGAGTAACTCTCGAGGCCTCGTCAAGAGCATTCTGGGCACTTCAAATCGATGGCAATCGGCTTTCGTGTACATATCAATAGCCTCCGCCACTTTACCTTGTTGTTCCAACGCGTGAGCGTAATTATAATAGCTCGTTTTTTCGCGAATTCTATTTTCGTTACTAGCCAATTCAATTGCCTCCTTGAACTTATTCCGCGCCTCGTACAGCCGTCCTAGTAGATCCAAACGTTTTGCTTCTCGAAACAGACGTTCAGCATCGGTCTGCAGTTTAGAGCGTCATACAATCAATATGATATTTCGGATATGTTCAGCAGCACTCGTTACATACACACTTATGTATTTAAAAACTTACATGCAGACCAAGCTCGACGGCTAAAATTCCTACTTGTGCTTCCAAGCTTAAAGTATCGTCTTGCATCGCTTCACGTAAGGCCCGCGCGGCATTGGCCTGCTTCATATGACCCAGACAAAGGAGAGCCATGTTCAACTGCTTCGTTTTCACGCACATTTTGGCCAGACTCTTCCAGACGGCCTCATTCTTTATAGATTTAATGGCTTTAAAGGCCTCTTCCATGTTCGCCACGCTAATATGATAACTAAAGTCCATCACCGCTTTCCTGGTAACGGAATCACACTCCCCTAGTTCCTCAAAGTCTCTCATTAATAATCGCATAATCTTGCTGCTTCTATCCAGACTCTTTTCAGAATTTAGAATAACGATGTGCGGTGAGTGTACACCTAGCAATCGACAATTCTCATCAACAATCGGCTTCACGTCCTGTATGACGATACCATGATCCGATGTCGCGAATAACGATACCAACACTACGGAGTTCTGAGCAGTCTGCAAAAAAAAAGGATACCATGATTTATTAAATATAATCGCCGTAGAATCAATCAGTGTATAATCAATGTATTAATTTTATCCGTATCTTTTTAGGCCTAAAATTTTATAATTCATAATCAGTCGTATTCAAATACATAAGAGTAAAAAGTAAATTTTCTATTAAAGAAAAATCAATGTATCCTTATTAACAAAAAATTATTAATATTGTTTTAAAAATATTTTAATATTCCGCATTATATATATGATATGTATATATAATCAAATCTCCTTTAATTAATCTTTATTCATATCAGAATCAAACACTCTATGTATCTTCAATTTTTTCTTTGTATCCATTCATATTTTAATAGTATTTTAATGGATAGAATAAAAGTATCGTACAATCACATCCATAACTTTATTAGTTACTTTTATTTTACGCGTGTGTAAAGTATTGAGAGATCAGAGGTGGGATTCTGTAACTCCTTAACAATAGTTTCGGTATCGTTGCGCAGCTTTTTTGTCATACATAATACCTGCGCAACGATACCAAAACTGTCGTTAAGGATGTATATCGCTTATGTCAAAATAGAAGGATGAAGCTAAAATTTACAGAGATTGTATATATCCCAATCTTATATATCCCAAAAACCCGTGTTAAATTTGCGAATGATTGTCTGACCCATTTCTGAGATGTTCGCTTTAAAAGTTACAAAATTTGTATATATATAAACATACTCCCTATGTAAATATTATATTATGTATCTCTGCTCCTATACAGTAAAAATGAATGAAATTTTGATGGTACACTTCTATGACATCGAGAATTGCAATTACGGTTTTTTAACTTTTTCTCTTTATATATATATATATAATTTTCAATTTTTTAAAATGATTTATTTAAACAATATCAAGTACAAAAATGAGACAAAATTGCGATTTTTACACTTTTTCTGTCAATGATAACATGTTATTTATGAATCGTTTCTGAAACTAGCTAATCAAGAAAACAAAATTGTACCTACTACATATAACTATACATAAAACCTCTTTAAGGAGTTACAGAATCCCGTTACAGTGCAAAAGGAGAAAACACTTTGTAGACTACCGATGACACACAGCTGTTGAGATGTAAGAATATTAATCTTATCGACATACTATTAGCTACAACTATTTTGCATGTAGTTGTCATAGATAAAAATATAAGCAAAACGTTATTTGGCAATGTAAAAACAATTGTAAACATAATTGAGCGGCACAATGTAAACAGCATAATTAAGCAGCATTGATTACTATCAATATAATGAGAGATTATGTGGAAAATATTTTAAAATGTATCATATAAAAGAAAATACATTTAAATAACTGAAATGTAGTTTATACATTAAATACTTGAAATGTAGTTTATAATCTATTTTATTTTATAAAAATCTTAAGAAGTGATAGTTATCGTTTCAAAGATTCAACATATTTGTGTTTAGGATATTTTCAGTTAGAAATAAGCCGCTATTTTTAATTATCTAAGAGAATGAAAACAAAATGTAAAAGTTAAAATTTATGGTGTTTATTGATAAAAAAAAGTTGTAAAAACCCTACATTAAAACAAGTAGAAACCTGCACATTACTTCCTCTATGAGGAAGCCTGTTTTTGTATGCATAATTATTAGTTATAGATATTTATTAATTTGGCTTCCTCATAGAGGAAGCAATGCAGGTTTCTACTTGCACACTTAAAAACTATAATGAAGCAATGTGCAAGTTTCTACTTGCACACTTAAAAACTATGAGGAAGCAATGTGCAAGTTTCTACTTGCACACTTTTTTTATGGATAGAGTATCATTAAAGATAGATTGGTGTTGAATTTGGCAATGATCGGTGAAGGGGTTACCAATTTTTGCCTAAAAAGTGTATCATACACGTAATCTTATATATAAGGTATCATTAAAAGGAGGTTGTCTCGAATTTGGCGAAGATTAGTGAAAGGGTTACCGATTTCTGTCTAAATGTATAGGGTAGACCGAGGCAAATCGGATTACTAATTAGCACGATAAAATTGCTCGTTTAAAATAAAATATTAACGAAAATTGTCTTACAACTTATATTAATCCGATTCGCCTCAATCTACCCTAAGTTATTTGATGGATAGCCAATCCTCAAAACCGATCCTCAAAAAATTTAAATTCGACATTTTTGAACATAAGCAACACATTGGCGTCGAAAACTCAAGAAATAATTTTTACTTTGGTCTTTTCTACCCCTATTTCATATATAATTCTTTTAAATTCGGTTGATTAGACTTAGCTTTATATGCGATCAAAATTATGGACCTTTGATCGTGTATAAAGCTGGGTCTAATCAACCAAATCTTAAAAAATTATATATGAAATAGGGATAGAAAAGACTAAAAAATATAATAAAATTAGAAATAGATCGATATCTCCAAATTTGCGGAAGTTAGAGCAACCACGGACATTTCTAAAAAAAATTCAAAATTTTTTTAAAAAAGAACCCTTTTACCGATCATCGCCAAATTCAATACCAACCTTCCTTGAATGATACTCTATCGATTAAAAAAAAAAACAACCCGATATCTCAATATTTACGGAAGTTAGAGCAATCACGGACATCAAATCTGCACATACACACATACGGACATGCGATTTTAATGCGATATTTCGACATTTTAGAACACTGTGAACATATTGGCATCAAAAACTCAAAAACCAATCTCTTCATTGGTTTCTTCTACCCCTATTTTATATATAAATCATTTAAATTTGGTTGATTAGACCCAACTTTATACGCAATCAAAGGTTCATATACGAAATTCACAAAAACATAGCTTCCTCTATGAGGAACCAAAACAAGATATTCTTACTTTAATACTGGCTTTATACTGACATTCTCGTTTGCGGCTTAAGTCATATCATAACTGTAGTTTGTTTCAATCAGATATTGTTATAGTTCAATACAGATCAAAGCGTTAAGTTGCGGAAGCTTCTGCTATTAAAAAATAATAGGGGATTTAGCTCTAACACAGGTGTATAGATATTTAATCCAAGATTCAACTGTAGACAAATTAGCAGACATTACTCGATTATTGTCTTTATTGAAGCTCTTAGAATCACGGTTCTCCAATTGTTGAGCTCGACATATCAGTAGCCTGGGATCCTCCACATCCCAGCAGTGCGCTGTGACCAACCTTCCTTTGCATTGGGCAGCTCTAAAAGTAACGTACCGAAATGTTATTACTCTTGCATATTACATTGTGCGCTAATGCTGCATTAATGGAATATGCAATTGCCTTTATATAGATAAACGTATGTGTATTAGGGATACATACACAATCTATTAATGGAAAGTACAATTAATTCTGATCTGAGATTCGATTCGCAGTTACGTCGAATTTTCTCAGCTTCTTTACTCACAACATGAAGTCATCGTCAACGATGTCGTCTGACTCTCCGAAGTCGAATTCGTGGATCTGATCGCTCTCGATGTCCCAGATATATAGAACCGAACTAGGCATGAGATTTGCCATAGCAACAGTGATCGAGACGCAATGGCAATCCGAATTACATTTGGCCTCAATGATCTCGGCGAAATCGCTAATCGCTTCGTACGTTGCCATGGCGCGGGTATGTAACTTAGCTTCGTGTTTGCCTAGATTCCAAATCTTCAAAATGCCATTCAATGACGCTACAGTTAAATAATGTCCTACAAAGAATTTCGAATGTAACATTTATAATAGGGATAGGCGAGCAATAGAGATACCTTATCGTTAGAGCCTTTTACCTGTCAATTCCATCGTGATCGGTTCGCCCTCCTCTGGTAAAGTGGGAAGTGTCTGAATAACAGAGCCTTCTATAGATCGCAGCTGAATAATCGTTGGAGTCAACACGATCAACGTGTGCTCGTAGATCAACATCTTTTCTGTGTCACAGTTGAAGGTTGCCAACACACTCGTGCTAAGATTGGCACCTTTGTTGATACTGTTGACGACGATTTGTCTACTGGAGGAGACGACGATGTATTCCCGTGACACAGCGATGACCTGCACCTGAATCTCCGTCTTTAGTGTATATGTCTGGTTATCCATCTCGAGCAGAATCTGCGTCGGGGTGAGCTGGCTTGCACAAACACCGTCGTTGTACACGGCGCACATCGGTTGCTGATGCAGGATGAACACGTTAGTGATACAGTTAACAGCCAGAAGGGAATTTCGTGATAAACCGACACCCCACGCCAGCTGCTTCACCGTGCCGTGAATCGCGCAGAACTCCGGAACACTCGGCCAGGCATTCTCATCGCAGTCGGGCACACATTTTCGCTTCCACAAATAGATCGTACCCAAATTGGAGCCAGCGGCCAAGGTGTCTGAGAACCGCGGATTATTATTTAGTTTGTTGTCCTCAAATTTACCTCGGTAGAAGTAACGGCAACAATTAAACCGTCGTAAAATTAAAATATTAAGAAATTTTAATAAAGAGACGCTAGTCCACACACTTGATATAAGATAAATTTTGCTTATAATTTTAAAAATACATTGGTGTTTTACCATTGCCCTTGCAAAATGCCAAGCTAGTGCACATTTCCTGAGGAGTTGCGACATTTCCATTGGATGAATCTGGAGGCGACAGAACGTACGTATCGCTGGTGTGAAGATCCCAGCATCGTACGGCAAGCTCTCCCGTAAGTACAGCCAACGTGTTTCCGCTAATCCAGCACATGGTACCGGTGATTCGCGATGCATCGCTTCTGCCACTTAATTTTACCTGAAACGATACATTGGATAGTAATATGACATAGTACGTATATATTGTTGTTATATAATCATGACAATTAGATTTAATCTGTCTCAATTAAATAGAAGGTCTATATTTGTCAATGATACTTATTGTTATTACTATTACATTGGTTATAATGATATTATTTCTACACAGAATTAAAGACTTTTGTCACATATTCAAATTCTACAACAATCAACGTTATTTTTTACATTTTTTTCTCGATAACGGATAACGGATAACTACCTACCATTCGAATTATTATATACTTTATGAATAAGAATCTTTTTTCTCTGAATATTGAACCTCTCAAGAACCGACAATAAGAAATACAATAAATAATCAACGATATTGATCATTGTTGTAAAATTTGAATATAGTACGTTCTTTAATGTGAAGTAGAAATAATGTGTAGATATGACAGTGATAAAACACAACGGCATAAACCTTTGTCAGCTCGGTGAGTTCTCCGCTAATCGAATCTGCTTGAAAGTGCCCGATGTTCAATCCCTCTGTCATAACAATGATAGAATCTCTGGTCTGATGATACAATAGGCAATGCAATGCTGCACCATTGGTACTAAGAACTTCCTTGCACTGTCCTTGAGCATCAACAAAATATATGATGCCGTTTACAGTACCGATGTAGAACGTATGGTTATCCCGCTGTGACGAAACTGCCGTTGGTGCAGCAGTTCTCGGACGCCAGGAACTGAACAAGTCCAAAGCTCTCTCATCACCAGCCACTGCCGCCTTTGCCAAACCACTGCAAATGACAAATTGCCCCATCAGATATTCAAAAACAATCAGGAATACCATCAAATGTTCATCTGCAAGTTTTACTTGGAATAGCCTCTTTGAGATTCGATATTTTTCACCATACTAGCTTGTAATAATTGTGAAATTATTATGAAAATACAAGCTGCTTTGTTGCAATTTAATCTGCTTTTGACTTATTCGCTTAAGTATGTAATATATTATTGTACCTAATATCAACAGCTAGTTTTGGCGGGACTGTCCTAAATGCAATTTGGGTAAAAGATTCCTTTAGCTCGTGATGAAACACCATAAAGAGCTGCCCCCTGGAATCTATCTTCCAACCAACTATAGATCCGCCAGTATCTGCAGATATTAAGCGGCCACCGTACTGACTCCACTGCAAAATCGTGATAGACTCCCGATGAGGGGTTACTACTATGTTGAATTCCTGAATACCAGTGTCCCCTGGCCATACCTGATAATAATAATTCAATGGTACTTATTCCTGTAAAATTCGTAATTTATTGCATATCCCCGCAGGGTTCGCAATCTACTACCAATACTATCCTTCTCCTCTCATTTTAACCATTTGGGCCAACGGCTTAACGTCTCTTTCCGAAAGACGGAGCCCAGTTTTCTCCGCACAAGAGTCTATCTTGCACGGAGGGGCGCAGCTATCGGAAAAACATTCCATGCTTCATGGCTCTAGTGGACTCGAACCTGATTCCTCAGATTACGAGTCTGGCGCTCTACCACTAGACCACACTGCCGCCCCAATGGTACTTATTCATTATACATATAGGTGTCAATTCTTGTACCATGTGACTTAGAATTATATTTATGGTGACCACAGGCAATACATATCTGTCAGGTTTTAGAAATGTTGATTAGGGGATGATTTTTGAGGGTTTGTTACAATCATCATGAGGTTGAATTGGATCAAAATATTCTGATAGAATTTTATGGCCTTCAGTTACCATAAATACAATTTGTAGTTAAGTAGTATAAGAATAATTACAAATTTTCCAGCATAATAGTTAAGGGTTGATTCATTAGGGTTGTATTTCATTGGCTTGGAGGTGAATTTATTCGGGATATATTCTGCAAGAATTCCAGAATGTCTGAATCTTAGTAAAAAAAAATATAACATGACTTATTGTCTAAAAAAAAATTCCAAAGTTGTTGATATGATTTTTAGGGGATAATTTTTAAGGGCTGATTTTGATCATCATGGGTGTGAATTTGATCAAAATACATTCTGGTAGAATTCTATGGCCTGTAGACTTAATAAAAAAGTTTTATGTTTAATTGCCTGTGAATAATTGCCCAGTTGTCTAAATGATGTGTAGGGAATGATTTTTATTGATTGGTTATGATCCTTATGGGGGTGAATTTGATTGAAATATATTCTGAAAGAATTTCACGGCCCATGAACTCTATTTAAATTTTTTTTACTTTATTTGTTTTAGAATAATTGTCAATTTGTCGAAATGATGATTCAGGGATGATTTTGAAGGGTTGATTTTGATTATAATGGGTGGTAACGTCTGAAAACTAGGTAATTCTTCAGTTTAGCTACCTCAGCACAGAAATCGATGCAATTAGGCTTAAAACTATTTAATTGGATGTCATAAACCATTTTGTTTCAAAGTTGCATCGAATTTGATAGAAATTGCTAAGATTTTAGATGTTATTTGTATACTTTCTTATTTTTTAGGGTGGTTTGAGCGATATTTTGATTATGCTGCCCCACCCTTGAATGTAAATGAAAATCGCCATACGGCATCCAAAAATTGAGTTTTCGACGGAAATTTTGAGATCTCGCAAAGCATTTTATCTTTAAAAATAAAATGTGCAGAGGGGTGGCTATTTTGAGAAAGAATGCCCCATATATATATATATATATATATATATGTATATATATATACACACGTCTTTATTTCAGCTATACGCCAAGAAAGGACTTGTTTTACATTTCTTACTTAAACACACATCCATCCACACATCATCCATCTTTCTTCTTTACCTACAAGCCGCAATGCCTCGTTATTTACAACCGTTATATTAAAGCTGTTTCCATTACTACTCCTACTCACGCTCCTTTCCAATTTCCCTCTTCCCTTCCTCATTTTTCTTTTCCTTTATCTTATCTTTTTTATAACATTTATCTCTCCTTTTCCATAATCTGTTTAACACCTTTCCTTTTTCCATTCTAAATTTGTCATCGCATATATTCTCTAATCTTTCTCTGTTATTCCTACCTAAACTCTCAAACCACAAACTTGTGATATTGCACTCGCTTATATAATGATCTAAGTTGTTCCTACCTATCTTACAGAATGTACACTTCGTATCTTCTTCGTCTAGCCAATATTTATTTGTATCCTCTAAATGGCCGCACCTTAATTTTACCATCGCTCTAATCTCATCTCCTGTTTTTACTTTATCCAAGTTTTCTTTTAATAAATAACTGGGTGTTTTGTTTCTCACCTCTATCTCTTTATACCTTGTATTATACCTTGTCTCTGCTATTTTACTGTTTATTATTTACCCTTGAACGTCCTGTTCCCTTATTCTTACTAAGCCTTCAGTATTTTTACCTTCATCATCTAATTCTTTTATTATTACTTCTGAGCTCCAACCATTGTTATTATAAAATCTTTCTCGTTCCAAATTATAAAAATCCTTTTCTTTTTAGCTATTATGTCTTTTTCCTCCCAACATGCCTTTACTAAACTTCCGTCTTTTTTCTCTCTGCTTCTTTCCTCGTACCTCATGGCTCTCATACCCCAACTAATTTTTAATTTCTCTAATCCTAGTTCCCTTAATATTACATACCTCGGTGTACAAAAATCTAGTCTAAACACCCATCTTACATAATCCATCATGACTTTTTCCAACTCTTTTTTTCACTCCACCCCCATATCTCTGCACTATATTCCATTACACTTTTCACTAGGTACTTAAAAAGCGTCCATCTCCTACTAAAATCATCTTTGCATAATATCTCTCTCCTAAACCCCAAACCCTATTTGCAGCGATCCTTCCTTTCCTATTCAGTTCTTTCCTATTAAACGTGAATCCCAAATATTTGAAATTTTCTACTTCTTCAATTATTTTATTGTCCCATTTCCATGCCATCCTGCCTTTTTTACCTTTACTATTAAATACCAACACTTTTGTTTTTTCTGTACTTAATTTTATAGTTTTCTTCCTTTTGAAAATCTTTTTATCATATATATCATATATATATCATATATATATACTGCCTCCACTATTATTAAACTAAACACATATGTTGCTTTCCATTTACATCAAAACTTAGATAATTCTCACTTGTGATGTCATTCTGTCTTTATTATTTATTAATTCCCAAAAAGGATAGAACGACGTCACAAGTGAGAATTATCTGAGTTTTGATGTAAATGGAAAGCAACTATAGTGTGCCTTCAAAATACATGCGTGGACTCTTCACGCGTGGAAAGTTGTAAACCCATGTAGCACCTCGCATCGCTATCGCCTATTGTGCAAGGGGCTTAACATTGCCGGGAAAATCAACTCAAATAAGGTGATTTATCAAAATGACCATTTAGCATTGGGAAATATGCATAATAACCGGAAAATTTGATTAATTCTTCTCTATTAATCATTTTGACCGAACAAATTGGGAGTTATGTAAATTCCCCGGCCATTATGCATAATTCCCAATTTATCATATTTCTCGTAACACATATATATTGTATATGTGATACCAAACATATATCTAATTATAATACTAACTCGTAATTCTCCATTCTCCCAACCTGCCGCCAGCCAAGTTTTCTCTGGATGCCATCCGAGAACAGTGACTTGTGCTACTGCGTGTCCCGGTGACTCGACGTCCTGCACGGGTTCGCCTTGATCATCATAGATGATCACAAAGCCACCCTTGTCTTGAGAGTATGCGGCAACGGCTAACAAAGGATAATTATTGTGCCAAGTGGCGAGAGTGCTTATTGAGGCACTTTCAGGATTTTGCACCCGTATGTCAAAATACAAAGCCATGTTTATCACATTACAATACACGTAATACACATAGTAAATTTATTGTCTAAATATTATGTTGACAGTTGTCATCAGTTGCCATAGAGACCAACGCCATTGCCAGAGCCAGAGACACGGCCATGTCGGCCATTTTCAATTCAGGTTAAGTTAGGCGTAGATTAAAGGTAGTTAAGCCCCTTGCACAATGCCAGGCAACAGGCAATAGGAACGGGAAATAACAAAAAAATCGTTAATTACAACCTAAAAAATTCGAATGCTATGATTGGTTGGCAACAGGCAATAGGCACAGAATTTCCAATATGTGACGGAAACTCTGTGTCTATTGCCTGTGTCACTGTTTATTCTGCATTTATACATGACTTCTGATTTCTATTCTCTGTTCCTATTGCCTGTTGCCTGGCACTGTGCAAAGGGGCTTCATGTCCGTGACAAATACAATCCAAAATTTTATACTCTATATCGACATAAAAACGAAAACATCTGAATATTTGCGATTACAGGCTGAAAACTTATAGCGTTTTTCACTGGCAGAGCCGGTGCGCTAAAGAAGTGCTCACCGATTCTTACATATACATACAGAGCGCAGGCAAACTCGACCAGCGTCGATAAAGAAGTGCTCACCGATTCTTACACATACATACAGAGCGCAGAGTTTTTGGCTGAATTCGGGGAGACGCGTAACATGTGCGTATGAAATTTTTTAACATACTTTTCTCTTATACTAAAGCTCGCAACTCATTTCTGCAAGCACAGGATTCTTCTTTATTGTATTTCCGTGACGGCTGCAAGGTTTTTGTATACGTACACAGTCTAAAACTTTTATCTGCAGCAAATGTTGTCATGAGTCGACCGCAGAATCGAAAATAAAAATGTAATTTTCTAATTTTTTTTCGTTTTTCATACGCAATTGGTGCCTGCCGTCTTCGTTATCGTTCATACTTTAATTCTGGACAAAAAATTTTTAATTCGGTGAAATCAATCAAAAGATTTGTGTGTCTGAAAATTTTGTGGTAAAACAGACCTGTCTTCAGCATCCCCTTAAAGCCGTCGTACACAAACCAACGTAAAGTGTATGTTTAATATAATCGGGTTAAATCATGAAATCCTCAATATTCTTTATTGCACTATTTGGTAAAATATGTACTGCGAGTATTTTATCAGTCGAAATATTTGCATTTTACTTTAAATATTAGATACTAAATCAGTGTACAACGGCTTTAAGGTGATCCTAAAGCCGTGATCCTAGCCGGTTTTTTTCGGTTTTTTTCTTAGCACTAATCTTTTAATTGGCTTTATAGAAATGCAAAATTCTTGTCTAGAATTAAAGTACGCATCAAAATCTAGGTCATGGTGGTCGAATTTATATGTGGTGGTCGTCACGTATAACAAAAAATATTAATTTTTTTTCGTTTTCGATATAAATTCGACCACCATGACCTAGATTTTGATGCGTACTTTAATTCTAGACAAGAATTTTGCATTTCTATAAAGCCAATTAAAAGATTAGTGCTAAGAAAAAAACCGGCTAGAATCACGGCTTTAGGATCACCTTAATGTGCACTGAGTGCGCACCAGTTCTGCCAGTGAAAAACGCTATTAGATAGTTCTGCCCCTCACACACAAAACAAAAGACTATTCTTTCATTTTTCTCTTCCAGTCGCTTTTACGTCAAATAATCGCGAAAATCGAGGTCTATTTATTATTATTGTATTTCTAAATTTAAACGGTCAATAATATCGGTTTTTTTTTACTAGTATTCCTAAAGTACCCTTCTACTATGGCTGCGTTCGGGGAGCGCACTATTAGCGCTATTTGCTTGCTTATTCTATCCTTGTTCTACACTTGATGAGCGATAAAGATAGAATGATGCAATAGCGCTAATAGCGCGCTCCCCGAACGCAGCCTTATCCATTTTTCATCACTTTCTCAAGATTCCTTCTAATTATTAAAATTAAAAATACGAGATTTTCGTATGCTTTGTGCATGCAATACATATGGAAAAAATGCAATTTTTTATAGCCGATTATCTTACGTTCGGGACGCTCAATTACTTTTAATTTGTACAAACGTGTAGATATCACATTTATATTAATATTGTAACGATGCACCCCGTTCGTTAAGCATCGTTCCCGGCCAGCAACCGCCGGATCAGTCGGGCGAAGACCAGGGCGCGGTGCGCCTATATTTTTAATACGTTCAAACGCACCGTGTGCGCGGGCCAAGCGCGGCACCGGTGTCTCCCGACGAACGCCGACGGGAGCCGAGCCTCACCGGAGACAAGCGCGCGGCGTCGCGCCGACCCACCACAGCACGACTCGCCACGATCGGCCTCCCTCCTAACGTTCGCCCGCCGCGTTCGAGCACTATAAGCCGACGCTCCGGAGAGAGAGAGACACTTCGTCTGATCTCCAGCAGTCCGCTATTCCGGACGAAAACCTATCCTCAGATCCTAGGGCGACACACCGACGAGGTTCGGAGCTCCGAGTCTCGACTGAGGGCTCTTAGGTGTCCCCGCACTCCATCACATCAACCCCGACGGCACGGTTACGCGGGGTCGAGCACGCTCGGCCTCGCAACGAGGGCTCTCGCTGCCGGGGCCCCGAAAATCCTCCACTATACGCTACGCGTTCGAATATATCGTAATATCGCGTCGTTCGCAAGTGCACATGCACTACCTGTAAAATACCGAGTCCGTCTAGTATCGTAATACCGCGTCGTTACTATAAGGGCACATGCACTACCTATAATATACCGCGTCCATCTATGTAATATACCAAGTCCGTCTCTGTAATATACCGAGCCCGTCGAATATTGTGATACCGCGTTCGTTATCGAGTGCACCCGCACTACCCCTTCGTTGTATATATCGCGTTCCGCCCGTCCCTACGCTATATCGAATACCGCGCTAACATTTCTCTTCGTGTATACAGTAAGCTGAATAAACGTTGCATGTACAACCTAAATTGATTATTGTCTCTGGGCCTTTCATCGAACTCCTAATCCGACACGCTAGTCCGCGTTCAATACTAAAGTCAGGCCGTTACAATATATAGTAAAATTTTCAAATTTTTCTTATGAATTGCAATTTACGGACTAATTACTTCATTTAGGGATAATTTAAAAACATCCAGTCTAATTTAAATCTATACCTGCTAATAAAAAGACGAACATCTTTCGTAAAGGAGCAAAGAAGCAATAATGCATCGTTTTATTAACATATAACAATAATGTAAAACCACTGTGAGGTAAAATGTAATTTTACGTGCCATCACGTACATCTTGGCTTATTGACTCCGAAATTGGCTTTCCTCAAGTGGCACAATTCGGTTTCACGTGCAGTTATTTTCTAAAAGAGTCATGCACTAATTATCATGAACGATAATTACTGACTACTAATTAACTATACTAATACTAATAAAATTACTATTACTACTGTTATATACATATGTGTATGAGGAAAAGATATTCTTCCTATGTAAATATCGCACTGATAACAAAAAATGATGAAAATACTCCTAATATCTTGTTTTACAATTCTTATTGACTTATAATTATGATATTAAAAGTTGGGAACAACAAGAAATAAATGAAATTCGCGCGGACACTACAAATGAAAATATCATATGAAATACTCTTGTCGATGACTTTCAAGAGCGGCTGCTAGGAGCGCCTTGTACTTCTTTTCTAAAGACCCCATCAAGTTGTACAGTTCGTTCTGCTTCTCCGAACATAAAAGCAAACATAACTTGCTCTTCTGTTCTTGGAATTGCAATTGCAAAATCTTGATCTCGAGATTTTTATTCTGCAATACCGTACAGTTTAAAAGTTCCGTCTCATATAACTCAAACTTGAAAAAATATCGATAATAATAATGATAATAAAAAGTAATAATAATAAATATTTTAAGAAAAAATTAGGAGTAAAACGAGATACTCGAGTTGAAGAGATTATTTCCGATAAAAGTTTCTTAGAAAGAGAGAAGAAGTTTCTTCATATATTTTTAGTACTCTGATAATGTGTTGCAACTTCTTTTCGTAAACGTGCTTTATGATGTCATTCAACTTCCTCAGCTTTGCGATGGTTTTCTTGAACATTCGAACTTTTAACACAAGGCTTTGAATCTGGGCTCGAGCTGTCAACTGTTTAACGCGACTTCGTAATCGAAATGCTTCATTGTCCACCTCGCTGTTCCCTTGACATTTCGTCGTTAGCTCTTGTCGCAATTGTTCGTTTTTAATTCGAAAACTTTCGAGCGTAGCAGTCAACATATCAATGCGATGTTTGCAAAGCTCCAGATGATTTCCCTCTACCATATTGTCATTATGACGACACGCAGCGTACACGCTCAAACTCGAGTTAGAATCACGAAGCTTTGATTTATTTCGCAGGTGATTTCTTTGGTCTGACGTTCGACTTGAACAATTTTGATGGTTTCTGTCCCAATCAGACAGTTTGCTCAAAGATGAGCTAGTGCAAATCTAATAAAAATAAAAATTACAATATAATAAAATATCTATTTATCGATAAAAGTTTAATGTAGAAATAAAAACCGGTTAATTATTTAAATGTGTGTGTGTGTGTGTGTGCGTGTGTGGAACACTTTTTATGGTATTAAAAATTTTAATAAAATATTATAATTTGTATCAAGCACTTCTTGAAACAATTTTCGAAACACTTTCACATGAAGTAATGCCCGTATCACACTAGCGATTAGGAATTGCGTTTACGTCATTTTTCGAAACGCTTTTACATGTGGTAAATAGTAAAACATTTTGTGCTGCCCTAGCAAAATGTCTCAGAATTTTTCATATTATTAATCAGAATTTCTATGAAAATTTCAAGACTTTCTCAGAATTTTACAGATTTTTAAAATACAAATTGTAAGTTTCTCAGAAAAACTTGGACAAAATAATAATGAAATAGTTCATATTTTTCTCGCTAACACATCTTTGCAGAAATCTAAATAAATATAAGAAAATCTGCACTATTTATCAGAAATTTTTACCATACAAAACTGAAATATTCCGAAAATTCTCATCCAATTATTTCCGAAAGTATCTGAAAGATTTGGCACATTTTTTTCAGAATTTTTCATAAATGTAAAATATGAAAATTGTTTTCACCAGGGTGTCCTGGAGAAGGAACGCAAAGAATGAAAATAATGGCTACGTACCGCATGACAAGATGATGGCAACGGCGTTAATAGGCTACTAGAAGGTTCAGTTCTGAATATTTTTTCGAGCGTGCCTGCTCTTAGCTGTCGAGAGAGTTCCAACAAATATTCGTTCCTCAAGTTACGTTGCGAGACAGTCGAGTTTAATTTATCGAGCCAGATCCTGCATAAATGCACCTCTTCCACAGATCTCAGATTCAGTATGTACGTTCTGACGTGTGTCAAAGTTCGCTTAAAATGTTCATCCAATTTTAAAGCTTCTTGCTCGTCGCGTTCTTTTACTTTCGACATGGTATTACAAACTGACAACTCGTAGGTTACAAGAATGACACGGACCACCATCCACCATTGAGAGACAAAGGTATCAATGCATGATCACGAACAACAGCTATCAATGAAACTGAAGACCGTGGTTTCATGCATAATGCCCATTATGCATCATTTATCCTTGTTTAACATTTAGTGAACAAAAAGGATAAATGATGCATTATATATGCATCATGCGCTAAACGGAATACACCCCAAGTCGCTCTCTATTAGGCATAAGAAATATATGAAACTTGATGCGCTATGCCATAGTTAACCCTAGACAGACTCACTTATTTTTCTCATACGTGAATGACTCACTGGGGTAATACATTACCCCAAACTTGTACCGCGTGTATAATATTTCCAGAATGTTCTTAGAAAACTTTATAATAGATAATTTTGTTTGTTGTTTAATAGGGAAGACGGTAGTCATCAATTTGCGGTAGTAAAAAAAACAGTAAAAAAATTTCGAGAAACAAGAAAAAAACCAAAAATTGGGCTAAAATGACTATTTTTATAAAAAATGCTGTAGTTTTTCATAAAATTCACCGATTTTAAAATTTCTAACGGATTTTGAAAGACGAATAGACAACCTTCAAGGGCATGTAAGCGATTTTTTCGTTTCTTAAAAAAAACATATTTCTTTGAACATCTGAAGTAGAGGAAATGACGAAAAACTGTCGGATGGGAAAAATCGCAAGAAATGGAAAGTAAAACAGATTCTGTCGATTATTATTTATTTGAAAGGTAGTCGAAAGTTATAAAAGTATATGGAAACAGTAAAATTAACTCCACAAAAACTTTACAAAGTTTTAATCAGTTGCTGTGCAAGAACAGCAAAAATGAAATAATTGACCGAATCTTAAAGAATTATATATGAAACAGGGGTAGAATTTTCCGGGGAGTGCTATAAAGTGTATAATTTTTCATTATCGATTTTCACAAAAAATTTGAAATATTACTGTGGTAAATGTCGAACGTAAACGGCCAAAGGGGGTAATACGTTACCCCAAACGATTTTCTTTTTCGGTTTTCAGCACGGATCTAAGGCACTCGCTGAATGACGAAGGTCGACTGCCGGATGACTAAATCACTAAACTGAATTATGGTTAGAGTCTCGGTATGAAAACTAACCTTCCTAAGTCAGGGGCGTAATTTGAATTTCGCGTGGGGTAACGTATTACCCCAGTGAGTCTGTCTAGAATTAAATATCCTTTATTTCTAAAGTATTAACGTACAAGGAAATACACATGCTATGCAATCTGATTTATATTTTTCTCTCTTCTAATTACTTTATGCTATATGTATTACATTTACTATAATTTTTTTATACAATATGCTAACAATTACGTTTATAGATCAGTGACTAACTCTATTGTTTATCACAAAAAATAGAGACATTATATACAAAATATGGAGTATGTATGTACATCGTATTAAAAGTAATATAGCTGGAGGTTTGCTTTCGCTATTCACTATGACGAGATGTAAAAGACATTCATATGGCACAACATATTGTTATCAATATTCTCTAATATTGTTATCTAGGTAAATATATAAATTACATATTGCATGTTTATTTACATAAAAAAGGCTATAAACGATATTTATAAGCAAAGATGTGTTATCTTTCACAGTACATGTTACATGTATTTGTTTTCTTATTTCAAGTTTATTAATTTCACTATCTTGTTAGTCTATGCTAGGAAAGAGACACTTGCTTATTAAAAATTGATATTTGCATGCATCTAAAGTAAAACTAAGGGGTTAAATATCAGTTTGTCCCTTAATTATTAAATATTATTTAATAATTTAACCGTAGTTACCCTTTCATAGCCAAGATATCACAGAGCATCTTGTATATATCGACAAAAGTTCTCTCGCAATATTAAAATAATTCATCTCTTCTTTAGAAAACTATGTTCTTTTTATTTTTTTCAGTGATGTATATATAGGGTGTTCGGCAATTTTTTACGATGCCAAAGAATGAAAGTAGATTGGCTCAAACTGAAAAGAAATGTTATGTACCATTTTGTGAAATTTTATTCATAATAACTATTGGTTATTAAACTAAGCAAATGAGCGCATGAAAAGCGATAGACAGCTTAGCAACGGTGAGCGGTGATCATCATCTATAGCAAGAGATGGAGTCACACAGCGAGCGGCAAACGACTCACGACATTTTACGTGCTTGCCGAGTCCAGCCTATCGCTTTTTAAGCGCACATTAGCTTAGACAGTTTAATTAATAACTCAATAACTATTGCGAATTTCGCAAAATGGTACATAACACTTCTTTTCAGTTTGAGCCAATCTACTTTCATTCTTCGGCATTGTAAAAAATTACTAGACACCCTGTATAATATCAAATTGTCTACTACTTTGAATAGCGACTTACTATATACAAAAATAATTTCATCCAAGAAATACTCGATTTTCCAATCGTTAGTGATCGTGAATGGCCTAGTTTACACCGATCACTTGATACGCGTATTAAATAGTAAATAACTAGTAAATAAGTCTGATTATTGGCTGATCAGTTCAAATATACTATATGATACGCGTATCAAGAGATCGGTGTAAACTAGGCCATTGCTTTTTAAAATCGTAGATTATACGTTCGAAATCCAATCGCCGATTTTTCAAGCAAAAGAGCTATTACACGCGACTATTTATTTTCAACTGATTCTCGGTAGTCTGTTTCAGCTCTATCAACTTTACTTTCATTGGCTGAACATTGGTGCCTATCCACTCTTCGATCATCGATGAGAAAAAAACCGCTTCCATCTGAACTCGCAGATAACCTTCCAAAGAAGACAATTCCAATAATAATCTGGAATGACATACCATGTACCCAAAATTTACGAGATGTAGTGTACTTTCATATGTAGACGATCTTACTGTAAAAGTACTTACTCCGTAAAAGCAGGCACCAAATTCTCCAGTTGCATGGGATTTGTGTAATTGTTCGCCACCTGCCACGGATTCATCCACGTCATGATCCTGTCATTGGAACAATTTACTTTATGTATACAATCAACACTCGACTTAATCTGTCAGTTTCTATCTCCGAATTTCTAATATTTAAGAGAAAAATCTTTCGTTTTTTATATATTTATAAAAATAATCATTATTCTGTCTTGTACTTATATCTTATATGTAAATAATAGTTACTTTCTCTCTCTCTTTTTCATAGCCAAGATATTACAGAACATCTTGTATATATAACAAAAGTTCTCTCGTTTTTTGTACGCAGTATTAAAATAATTCATCTCTTCCTTAGAAAACTATATGTTCTTTCTTCAATATTTAATTCAAAACAAATCAAGATACGATAAATTATCGAAAATTTTTTGCAAGGTCAGAATAAAATTTTCAGAGTAATATAAACCGTTTCTGTGCTTACTGATCGCTGCTGACAATATTGTGAAATTTTATCCTGAAGTTGAGAAACCACTCCATGCCCACGGCTATTTGCCATCCAGGAAAGAACAAATTACTGGGAATTGAGACTGGTCTGAGCTGTGGAGTTATATGCAACGGGTGATCGATGTATCCCAAGCTCTTTGCAACCTGCGTGTGCGTTTGCTCCGAATAGCCGTAGAGCCAAACTTTCAAGCATAAAGCTAACGAGGGTATCGCCGTGGGCAACAATTCACACATTGTGGCATAATGATCATACCTAAAAAATCACAATTGACTAATGTAATCGAGAATCTCGAGATAGCTTGTGAAAATTTTTTTGAACTTTCTCACCTTGACCAGCCGGTGAATGCTGTACCACGAAATTCGTGCACCTTACTCACGTGAACTCCCAGCTCCTCCAGCCATTTCTCGTGATTACTTATGTGATGTCGAATTATAGGAATGTGTTGTGTGGAGCCGGTAGCTCCTTTGAACGCGGTTGCCGCCCAGATATTGGGAAAGACCGCGCTGTACTTATCCCACAATCCTAATAATTTGTTATAACAATCATAGTCTAGCAAAATATTTTTAAATTTCTTGATATATATAAAAATAAAAAAGAAACAGAGAAAAAAATACCATCGGGTAATGCAAAATTGTCTCTGGGATTGTAATGCCACACCATGGGTTCTACGTATTTGCCGATGTAATGTTCTATAAAGAGAAAAGAGAAAGATTGGTCGCGTGAAGAGGTCTGCGCGACCAAATGATGCAAACAGGCTCTATCGAGATACCGTTCAAAACCTGTAAGTCTATCGATCTCAGCATGTCATCCCAGATAATGATCTTTAAGTATGGATAAGTTTCCTGAATGTATTGGGCTATCGCCAGAATATGTTCCAGGTACAACGATGATTTGCCATATTTGCTGGCTGCTGCTCGCTTAGTGCAGACAGAACAAAGGCCCAAGTGCCATACTTCGTCAGAGCCTATATGCAGATACTGTATGTCAGGATGAAAGCTAACGATCTGACGTATCAACGACTTCACCATAGGAAGAGTTCTTGGATTTGACGGGCAGATAGAACTTGGAAAAGGTTCCACCTCGCGCAGCGATCTCCATTCATCGTGTTTTAAGATAAACTGAAATTTAAATAACAATAAACTTATCGAACAACACAATGGTTGGAATTTAGGAATAATCGCCATCTCTCTTGAATTAGGACTTTGAAAATAAGAGGAATGTAAGATTGTACAGCAAGTACAAGCTTCAAACGAAATAATTTTTGCTGTACCTCCATATGACCGAAAGTTTGTACCAATGGGACAACCGCCAAGCCGCAATCGCCTGCTATCTGCAAGATGTGTCTAGCCTCCTGGACTGTGTATCCACTCGCCAAACTGCTTGGACCATTGCTTCCTATCGGAGAAAGTTCCCGGTTGTAGGGAAATGTATCTTCCCATTCCAGCAATAATCCGGTAGCTCCCCATGTTCGCAATAGCGGAAAGAGCTGTAAATTTTCTAGTAAGTCATAAGAATAAAAATAAGCACAGACAAAAGTTAAAGAAAATTATTATGACAATTGTTTGTCCATTCAATATACAGCCTCTTGACAACTGTTGACAACTCCGACCGAGATTGAAATTGTGCTGAGGTTTACTTGAATTCAAAGACGAAAGAAATGTGATTTATCTCATATAAGTTTCGCTACTGTCAGCTTTTGAATTGTAACTCTCTGCTTGTGTATCAAAGACGAAATATCAATATTTCATTATTCTTTCATAAATATCTTTGTTTCAGGCAGAAATGAACTATCTATTTTTATCCCCTTTAATACATGTTACGAATCAACTATAATCCAGTGAGCAAAATGTTCCAGTAAGCAAACTGCCCGTAATATGACAACAAATTAAGAGCAAATTGACTTAGATATCTCAACAGAATCAGCATCATTTGGGTCCGCATTAAATTTGCGTTTTCCTAGCAGACTGCATATAATCTAACAGCGGATTGTCGGCAGAAATTGAATAGAATCTATTATTTCTTAAATATATATTTAGATGATTACGAAACAGTAGATTCTGCTCAATTTCTGCAGTAAATCTGCCATTCAGTTAACAGTATATTCAGTTAACAGATTCTGTTATATTTCTACTGGAATTCTACTGACAAAATTTGTATACTTTGGTATCTATTATAGAAACTTTTCAGAATAGATTCCGATCGGAATTATTCCGTTTTCCCTAGAAAACACACAAAACGGACACAATAAAAATCTAAAACAACTAAATAATTCTTATGTCAGAATACAAAATTTTCGACAAAGTAAGCTGATAAAATATATGTTCCATTGGTACAACAGCGTAGCACTCTGGCCTAGTTTACATCGATCACTTGATAGGCGTATTAAATAGTAAATAACTAGTAAATTAGTTTGATTATTGGCTGATCAGTTCAAATATACTATTTGATACGCGTATCAAGAGATCGGTGTAAATTAGGCCATTAAAAGGCCCAGTTTCACAAGTGTCAGTTAACTTTTAATCTTAGATTAGTTAATCACTCTTCGTCTCCTTCTGACGTCCCTCTTAGAAAGACGAATTAAAAGAAAGGAGAAGAATGCTTCAAAGCATTTGGGCTACGGTCCACTTGACGCTATACAAATGCATCAAAGCATTCCTCTTCTCTTTTCTTTCAATGAAGAAAGAAGGAAAAGAAAAACGCTCCAAAGTATTTGTAGCGTCAAGTGGACCACAACCTTGTAGTATTAAGTGGATCACAGCCTCAGGCGCGCGATTGTAGTATTCGAAGCGCAATCTGTGACGTGCGATAAAAATCAGGTTATCAGGACAGCACTTGGGTAAGGAAAAGACACTTCTGCGTCCGTGCGGATTTTAAACGGAAAAACGTGTGTGATGGTGAATCTTGGAATGCGTTGGCGCGAGAGACAAGGTAATTGGCCTCGAGCGTTTACGACCGGCATGTACCTTTTCAAAGTAGCAGGTCCGCGGTGGTGCGCCCTTCAAGTCAAGGTGGACCAGCCTAGAAAAGAAAGGTCGATTCGCCAGGTCGCGACACTTCGTTCGTCGAGAGATACGCGGTGATTTGCGTCGGTCGGTCCGGTTACCTTACCTGTGCGAGCCCAACGTCAAGGCGTCCATCTTCTCTCCCATTCCATTCATCGGTCAGACGACATTGGTCGAAGGAAGAACGACGACTTTTGGCGCGGAACGAGTGGATTCCGCGAGCCCGCCTGACCTGTCGTTGATCGTCTCGTGACTGTATATGTATGTATGTACGTACATACATACGTTCACGGAAAGGTTGTAACACTTTTTTTTTGATGATTTTTGGAATGCGCAGAAATTTTGAGATCGCGATTCACCATCTCTAGGGGCCGGTATCACAGTCTCCGATTAACGTGATCCTCCGATTAAACTCACTCTGCATCGCAGGATCCCCTTGTCGGTCTTTAATAGTATCTCGTCGGTGCTTAAAGGGATCCTGGATACCGACAATTACAATCAAAGCTCGTTCTTTAAAACGGCTTTATAGATCGCAAAATCCTTTTACAGGAGTAAAGTATAGGTACTAATGAAGAGTGGAAATGTAAAATAATTAGTAATAATTGAAAAAAATGTAAAAATGTATAACCTTATTTTCTAATATAAACAGTTGTATATAAGTAATATGTACGAAATGAAATGTTCCCACTCTTCAGAAGACGAGCACAAACAATAACGTACCTTTGAAATTGAGATTGAAAGCCTGGAATAAAAATGAGACGTTCGAAGAAATTATAACCTACAACCATGTCTATCCTTGTCTATTATCATTGTCTATACAAGGACAGATATAGAATTTGGTCGGTAATACAAACGGCTTAAAACAAAGCCCCAAGGGGATATGCTAAAGTGACTCAATTACCGACAATTACAGTCAAAGGTCTAATTTTGAAACGGCTTTATAGATCACAAAATCCTTTTACAGGAGTAAAGTATAGGTACTAATGAAGGGTGGGAATTTAAATAATTAGTAATAATTGAAAAAAATTAAAAATGCTGTTACCTCATTTTCTAATATAAACAGTTGTATAAGTAATATGTACGAAATGAAATGTTCCCACCCTTTAGAAGACGTGCACAAACAATAACGTACCTTTGAAATTGAGATTGAAAGCCTGGAATAAAAATGAGACGTTCAAAGAAATTATAACCTATAACCATGTCTAGCCTTGTCTATCATCATTGTCTATACAAGGACAGATATGTATGCCGTTTGTATTACCGACCAAATTCTATATCTGTCCTTGTATAGACAATGATGATAGACAAGGAGAGACATATCACATTTCGATCAATATCAGAAGATCATGACGTGATGAAATCTGATCATCAGGCATTGCTATCTGGTTTACGCGAAGGAATTATCGTAAGTTACTAGAGAAGTACCGCTCGCGTAAACCATGGTATAAACCATGTATTTATACCATGGCGTAAACGTAGTAGTAGTTAACAATAGGCTTGTTCGCGTTGCTTGAAATCCCCAAACATTTTTGCACTTGAAATGAGATAAATATATATTCGGCCGTTGGAGAGAGAGAAAGCGAAGATGCTGAGTGCAAAAAGTGCAAGCAACGCGAACAGACCCAATAAGATGACTGTATAATTATTATTTATATTTTACGACTTTATAAAAAATGTTAGTTATTGAATGATTAATATTTGTCCGTTATTTAATGACTTACTTTGAAAAAATGTGTGCTAACAAGTTTCGATAAAATATAATTTTTATTTTTGTTGTATATGTACTTTACTTTTATATAAAACGCTACAACTACACGTGTGTGATAGTATCATCTCCCAAATATATAACATTCATGAAACATGTTCTAAGTTCAGTGAATCGACATGAATATCCTGATGATTGATTGAATCGTGCTATTTGGTTCTCAACTTTTATGAAAGACGCCGAAAAAAAAACTTTGGCGCACAGTATGCTTGTCCTGATGAACACAATATGGAAACCAACGAGCACAGAATAAAATTTTCAACGTATGATACAAGAATGGGAAATTCGCACAATTTCTCACTTTCGGCATCAATAAGATAATATGAACGCAATGATTAAAATTATAAAATAAAATTGAAGGATAAAATACATAAAATACAGCTAGTTTTATTTTAACTTTTGGTTTTGATGTTGTTATATATACCAGTGGATGAATCTTTTATTTGTATTCTATATTCTATACTTGTTAGTCAAAAACCCGTTTTTCAAGCGAGACTTAATCAAAATAATCGGCTTGAGATTTAAAATTGGACGTCGTATTTTCGTGTATTTGGCACTTTAGTTGCGACGTATCTTAATATAAAAAAAAAAAAAAATAAAATACAAAGGAATTTAAAAGTGGAACGAGCAACCAGAGCGACAGTTTGTCGAGCAGCGATTTTTATTGTACAAAGTCTAGTGAAAGAGTTTGCCTCAAATCAGACAATGTCTTCATACTTTGTTGTAACATGTTATTTTATCTGTATAAAGTCGCCTAGGGATGGTCGCTGTATTAGATAAATTATATCACTATGTTATGGTTAAAGCCTGAAATGCGAGCATTCCTAGGATTGACTGGTCAATTCTGCGGAACGACCAAACGTCTTGATTAAACACAGTTTTTAGAAATAGGCTTGGAGTTATAGTTTTTTTTTTTTGCGGAGGAGGGGCTCCGCCTATTTGTGTACTGTCTATACAGACATATCAGCAAATTACTACAACGACAAGATGCTTGGTTGTCCGGCAGAATTGATTAATCAATCCTAGAACATTGTCCGCGTTTCAAGCTTTGACTATAACAACTATACAGTCCTATAGCACGCACGGAAAAATATATTGTTTCATATCAAATACTGAATTCCATAATAGTGAAACCAGTGAAACTTAAATTTATTCTCCGCAATATCAAAGAGGGATCTATTTGTCTCTGAGATTGTATTCAAATCGGTAACATTAAATACCTATAATTACAAGGGAGCCTAATTCACAAATATAAAAAATTATACAAACTCTCTTTCTAGCTTTTACGAATTTATTAATAATATATTGGATATATTAGATGATCCAAAGTTTTGTAAATGGAAACTCGATACCATATGCTTGCTCTGGTGCGTTTTTCAGAGATCGGATATTAATATTCTGCTGGCAAGTGCAGAAATTAAGAGGACAATACACACGAGACCCATCCCCAGCGTAATATGGGCAGGAGTATAACGACAGTCAGCGATATACAAAAATTGCGATCGGTCGATTTAAAAAAATTGAGCTAATCTTAATATCTACGCTTACGTTATGTTAATATAGATCGATCGAGCAAGCAAGTCAATATGCCCATCGAACACAAAAGGCGCCAGCGGAAACCAAAAAGCGATGGTGACAATAATTTATATCTGATAAACATAAAGTGTCACCGACGTCCAGCTTCAGCAGCGACTTTTTTATTCTTTGTTAAATAAATTAGTTAAACGACTTGATTCACATCCTCTCTTCCATTTCAGACTATCATTTTAACTATACTCCAAAATTTGCTTGTGATAAAACAGGAGATATCTGAAAAGCAAAAATTTTACTTAACGACTGAGAGAATGAGGTACCTTTTTCTTTTCCGTGTACTCGCTGAAAAATTCTAATAAATTCTAGGTAATTGATTTTCATCTATTTTGAAAAACGCGCTATCTTATCTTACCCTTCGCTGGACAAGACGTCCTTCAGCTTGGCTCGCGTAATCAAATGATCATTGCACTTGAACCATTGATCTCTGTGTTGCCTGATGAAAGCAGTATAATGTCCAGTCTCTAAGGAGCCCTCGTGATTTATTACGGCGAACAGAGAATACCTATTATTAGCAATCATGTTTTAATTCAATATATATACATTTCTTTTAAAATGTTAGTTATAATGTTGGTCATCCATAATAATTCGGTTTTAACATAAATTTTTTTTATTAAGCAGTCTGATAGATCATGGCATACTTTCTTTGTAAACTTTTTGAATTTTTGCAATATCTTCAAAATTGAAGAAAATATAGTACACGAAAATGTGCTGTGACGTCATACCTTATATAAGAAATGACGTCATACCTTTTGAAGTTGCCGTCATCAAAGAAACTTTAGCAAGCTATAACTTTCTCAAATTTAGGTTTTTTTTTTTAATTCAAAAAGTACTAAAAATCAGCTTAGATTCTCTACATTAATTATAGATACCGCTTAATAAAAAAGAAATGTTAAAACCGAATTGAAAATAGGGAAAAATTGTAAACCATTTCACGAGATATCACTACCTATTGTCACTGAAGCTCATATCTTCTCCGTTCTTCGACAAGCCGTCCAGCATAGCACTATTGTTGTTGCCATTGCGCTTATGCGACATGAACGGCGTCATGTCTAATTGTTCCGGAAACGAGATAAATGTAGAGATTTTCTTCTTAAAAATCTTATCCTGGATTATGAAGTGTTCAAAGCGTTTTAAGTGAAAGATTGCCACGATTGGCAATTGCTTCATCGTTAATTGCTTTGTGCTTTCTTGATAAGTCTCACAGTTGCTACATTTGATCTTCGCACTAGAACCTAGATATTCGGCTCTGGTAAATTTTTCCAGGCAATCTAGCAAAGAAGTGGGTGACCCAGGTGTGTCAGTACCAGAGGCACCAGCTGCCGAAGTTAAATCCAAAGATATGTCCCAAAATGGATCTATTGTGGTAGACACACCACTGAAAAAGAAAATAAAGCGTAACAGATGAGTCATGCTTAATATAGTAAATCCCCATTGTATTGAATTCTAAAATGTATTGTTCTCGAAGAAACATTTATACTTATATTATCTGGCTTAATAATTATTATTTTATCATACATAAAGTAAGCTATATATGCATTTATCACATTATTTATTGCTTTTTAGAATATTTAGATGTTTATAGATTCTATGATACATATCTCCTCTATCTATTCTCTATCTATCTATACATACAGGGTGTTCCATTTTAGACAAGCGAAATATCTTGAAAACTGAGTCCGGCAGACAAAAATGTTTCAAACAAAAGTTACAAGGTTTTGAGGGGTCCACATGATGAAAATACGGACTTGACTTTGAACTTTTCAAGGCCAAGTCAATGTGATCGATGTTTTCTTAAATAAAACTCCTTATTTTTTATTGCATATTTTTATAACCCTCGTCGAGACGTTTCCAAAACATTATAATAAAGCTCTGTTTCGTTAAGAATTTTTTGAGATATTTCAAATTTCGTCATGATATTTTTAATATAAAATATGAAATATCTCGTAAGGTACTTACTTTTCGATGACTTTACCTTGTCAAATTGTCATTTTTCCTTCTATTATAATATCTAATTAGTAATATAAAATATGAAATATCTTGTAAAGTATTCATTTTTCGATGACTTTACCTTAATACTGTTATAGAATAATGAAAAGAATCGAATAATAATATTAATTTTTACATTTGCAATTTTGTAAAATTTATATTTAAAATATCATGACAAAATTTGAAATATCTCAAAAAATTCTTAACAAAACAGAGCTTTATTATAGTGTTTTAAAAACGTCTCGATAAGAGTTATAATATGCAATAAAAAATAAAGAATTTTATTTAAGAAAACATCGATCACATTGACCTTGGAAACCTGGCCTTGAAAAGATCACTCAAGGTCAAATCCATATTTTTATCATGTGGCCCCTTCCAAATCATGCAACTTTTGTCTGAAACATTTTTGTCTGCCAGGCTTAGTTTTCGAGATATTTGGCTGGATTCTTTAAAATGGAACACCCTGCATATATAGTATATTTTTATTGAGAAAAAGATTAACATACTTGCAAGCCTGACAAACAACATCGCTTTGAAGACACCCAGTAAATATCTGATCGATGATACATTTGCAGTGATGAGGGTTGTTTTTAACCAGTATCGGAGCGGCTCCACAGTGTCTATGGAGAACGTCCAGTGTAGCAATGAAGAATTCGTGGGCGTCCTGCTGCTCGTAACCTGCCAGATGTCTAACATGGGTCCAAATCAGATGCAGAAGTTTGTGAAGTGTCAGCGGGGCCTTGTTGCCAGAATAGAACTCCTGGAACAAATGGGATACCTCGCAGACCAGACAGCGACTCGGTTGCGGGCAGTGATGACGGTCAGCAAGGAAGTAATCTCGTAACAGTGGAGTGTGAATCAGTGCCTGTACGATGCAGTTCACGAAACAGGTATTCCCAAGATTGATTAGTCCCCTTAAACCTGAAACCATAAAGCAACGTGAATTTTTATATTATTATATAAGAAATGATACATATTTGAATCGTTATTGTAACATTGTTCAATTATATTTTCCTGAAAATAACATTATATACAATTATAATGTTATACAAATAAAATTATTATCTTTACACAAGGCTATGCAGGTCTATAAATTAAACTAACAATAAACTTATGAGTTTTTCTGATACCTATAGTGGAATTTTCTACGACGCGTCTTCGGCGCGGATGCTTTCTCAGCAACTCCGCTTCTATCTGCGTGGGTTCCCACGTCCGATAGAATTCCCCGAAGCTCAAGGATTTTGCTGTCTCGCTCCATTGCGCTTTCGCCACTGTTAACAATTCTCTATCGTATACATAATCGCCGCATTGGAAGCACAGAATATTCCCATAACACAGATCAACGGCTGCGATAATAAAACAACAAATAAAACAGGCAATTAATTAATTATAAAATATAGAACTCGCATTTAACAATTACATTTTTATAATAGTTACTTTTAATGAAATTTGAATTTACAGAATAGGTCTAAAAAAATATCTCATTACCTAGAAAATGTTTTTTCGTTTTCGCATGCTCTTGTATGTGACCTTTTATATAGCAGCCAAAAAATATGCAATGAAGACAAGAATGTAGGCGATCTTTATAAGTTTTACATGTGTGACATAAACAGCTCACAGCCTGCAAAATAAAACATGTAATATTAACAATCTTGTTAATTTCTGTGTTAACAATATTGTAACATTTTATTTTATTTATTATGCAAATATAAATCAAAAATTTAAATTTTATATAAGATTTAAATTAAAAACGACTGTTTTTAAGGGGATGCTGAAGCCATCTGTTTTACCGGTATTTTTTGTTAGCACGTAGCGTCGTATTAATTTAACAGAATTAAAAATCCTTCTCCAGAATTGCAGTACATACATTAATGATTCGGGGGAACTCCGATTTTATATAGAAAACGAGAAAAAATTACGGAAGTACAGATTTTCTTATCCTACTTTTATCCCAATAAAAGCGTCTCGAGTTGCGGCGAGCTGTCAGCTCGTCACAAGATGTATTTCATATAAGAGATATACCATTGGTACGAACGCGAAAACAAGTTCCCCCGAATTGCACAACAAGAAAAACATCGATAAAC